CCTCCTCCTCCTCCTCCTCTTCTTCCTCCTCCTCCTCTTCTTCCCCCTCCTCCTCTTCTTCCTCCTCCTCCTCCTCTTCTTCCCCCTCCTCCTCCTCTTCCTCCTCCTCCTCGATATATTTCAGGATTTTCTCAAACAGGAAGCTGAGCCACTGAAGTCAAACAGACCCTTTGATCACAGAGTTTGTTGCTCGCGTTTGTTCGACGGTTCCAAGTTCAAACTCGCGCCTGAGAATCGGCGCCCTGATGGCGCTCGGTCTGCCGCTGTGTTGAGTTTATTAGAGATTGATCTAATGTCGTGTCACAGCTTGTTTGCATTTGTCTCTGAGTGTCAATAAATCAGCTGTTAAAGACTCGTGCTAGCACGCCACTTCCAGAATAAACATGTGATCGGAGAGAGTGAGGAGCCGCTGCCATCTGCCGCCTTCACGTCTGAGCAGTTTCCTCATCGTCTGAAACGATGGCGGGAATGTGGCGAGCACGTGTCTGTCAGCTCTGTGTGGTCCCGCTCGCCTGCTGCTTTCCGATCAGGCTCATCCTGACTGGTTGGAAAAGATGGACACTGTTACGTCCCCTGTCGGTTTCTGTGGTCCGTGTAAAGCCAGGCTCATAACTGAGGCCAGACGGGGGGCCGTACTCCATCAGCACCGAGGATCGTTTGTGGTCTGTAGGAGGCGCTGATGGGCGTGGTCCCTGTGTGATAGAGAAGCGCTCCATCAGCAGCCGGGTCACTCAGTTTTGTCTCTAATGAAAAGCAGCAGCAGCGTTTGAACCCTTCGACTCATTCAATTAGCGCGCTTTAACGAGCTCGCCGTCAGCCGGCGCTCGCCGTGACAGAGAGGCGTTTCATGCGTTTGGTTCCAGCTGTTTCATGTGAATATCTGCAGGCTGCAGCTGTAATGAAACATTCAGAGGATCAAATGTTTGTGTCCCGCTCACTCTCACTCAGGCTAATCGCTAATAATGAGCTCTAATTGAGACGAATGAAACCGGCTTTAATGGAGCTGTTTCTGCTGCAGGCCAGTGGGCGGGGCCATGATGAAGCGCAACAGGTGATCTTCACTTTACCTGTTTGTGTGTGTGCAGGCAATCATCTATGAAGGCCAGGACAAAAACCCCGAGATGTGCCGAGTTCTGCTGACGCACGAGATCATGTGCAGGTAAGGCCGCGAAACACCGACCAGATCTGAGTGGTTCTTCTTCTCTGCTTCAAATAAAAGTCTCGATGTTTGAGAGCAGTATCCTCACGTCCACGGTGACTCGTGCCCTGATGGAGCCTGTTCCCTGCATACAGAGTGGGCGTGTGCAGGTGTCTCACCTGAGCTGTCTGAAAGAAATACGAGGCTCTGCAGTGACTGACGGGTCTGTTTTCATTTTTGTCTCTCTGTGTGCGTGTCAGCCGCTGCTGCGATAAGAAGAGCTGTGGAAACAGGAACGAGACGCCGTCAGACCCCGTCATCATCGACAGGTAACAGATACGAAGCATCACGCACTCACATACACCTGTCAGACTGTTTGTGCGCTCGCAAACAAACATGCAGCAGATGCAACAAAGACAAACAGACACCGATGACACGCGGCGCATTCCTGTCAGCCTTGTCGCGTACGTTTAAAGGTTGTCTTCTGCCCGAGCGGCAGATTCTCGATCAGTCGCTAGAGAGCACCAGCCGAGTCACAGACACAGGAGGAGCTGCAGGTTGAGTAGCGCCCCCTGCGTGAAGGTTTTTAGCAGGATGTGATGAAAGACGTCAGCTGATCTGCTGCGTTCAGGTGACTCTGTTCATCCACCTGCTGGTTTCGTATCTGGATGAAGAGGCGGTTTGGTGCCACACACAGTGAGAAACAGCAGACTGGTTGGGTTTGTTTATTGGTCAGTTACCTTTGCCAGGCTCAGGTTAGCATACCTGTAGTGACATCACAGCAGCACAGTATGAATGAAGCTTGTTGTGTCACACAGTAAGGTTCATGCTGGCGTTCCTCAGGGTTTCGTCCAATCATGTTTCCATGTGGCAGATGGCCCCGCCCCTCCCTGAGCCTGGTTCTGCTGGAGGTTCCTTCTTGTTAAAAGGGAGTTTTTCCTTCCCACTGTCGCCAAAGTGCTTGCTCATTGTTGTTGGGGCTTTACCTTACAGTGTAAAGTGACTGTTGGTGCCACATCAATAAAAGTGAAGTGAGCTGTGACACGAACGTGCTGATTATGTGCGGTGGGAGCGTGATTCACGCTGAGTAGCTCTGTGAATTTAAGGGCTAATGAAAGGTGAACATTAAATGCAGCTCGGCTTTAAATCATTCAAACAGGATGACGTGTAGAGCTACTGGGCTGATGTGGTTGAGCCTGCGCCTCCTCTTCATCCTCCTCTCAGATTCCTCCCCCTCCCCTCCTTCCTGGCCTCCCATGAGGAATCATACGCTATGCTCTTCTCTTTTCACCTCCCCCTCCTCTTCCTCCTTCTCCTCAGCTCTTGTCCTCCTCCTGAGTATTAATCTCAATCCTCCCTCCCCCTCTCCCCTGTGGACGGAGGAGGGGGGAGTATGGATGGATGGAGGGATGGATGTGACTGCAGCAGCTCTTTGAAAAGAGAAGTGGAGATTTTTACAGCAGCTCTTTTTTCTCCCTCTGCCAGCTGAAATGCATGATGGGAAGGTCTCCTGTGTTTTTGGCGGCGTCCAGTGAACAGGAAACATGTCAGGGTCAGACTGCAGAGAGAGCACAAACACTGCGATTCGTTCGCTCTCACTTCAAGAAAACTAACACAACAGCATTTCATTTCTTCTCCTTCACTCCAGAACCCACCGCTGGTTTCTGTCAGCATGTCGACCTGAACTGAATTAAAAGCTGAACTCAGCTTTAAAGATAAGCGTTAATTTACAAGGCGCATAAACAGTGCATAAAAGTGCAAGAAAGGAGCATCAAAAATGAACTGTGAGGAGGCAGAAAAGAGAAATGCACCAAAAAACCGACAGGTGAACGGAGTGAGCGCAGGGTGGGCCGTCACAAAGGAAAGGAAGACAAAGACAGGAAGTAAAGCCAGCAGACACGCAGACGGAAGATGCAGGATGCAGCCACGGGTTTAAAGTCTTTGAACACGCACAGATTTTTGGCTCATTAAAGGTTAGACAATGTACTTGAATAAATTAATCTCTTCCTTTCATTTCCAGCTTCCATTTTTAAGCAAACGTTTAAAATATATATAAAAAATATCTTAAATGTGGATCATACTGCTTTTAGTTTATTAGGACTCTGCATACAGGACAGAAGCTGGACAACAACAATATTAATAATAAAACATGCAGGAATTTTACAGCTGCTTCGTTTAACATGTTCTTTCCGCCAACTGTAACTCCTTCTTCACTCGTACGTGTGCGCACAGAAATGCTGTATAAAATAAAGATGATTTAAAACAACTACTCGGTTGTTCAGGGATGACACGATGAATCCTACTTCCGGGTCTAAAGTAGTCTGCGTTTAATATGGCTTTTGTGTTGTTAACATGTTTAATGTTTTGTATTTTCTTCTATTTGATCTCACAAAGCTCCTAAAACAGTCGATGATCACTGTTGACCTCCCTCGGCTTTTATTTTAATTTAATTTAATTTATTTATTTTTTTCCCTCGGCTTTTATTACCGCTAATCATTTATTTAAGCTCAGTTTTTAAAACCTTAGGATGTAACTACAGCCCAGCCCATGCAGCAGTATATGAATGACTAACCTCGTATTGTGGATGGATTATCTCAGTTGTTCTCCTGGCTGAAGTTTGGTCCTTTTACAGCATCCTGCCATGCGATTACATTTGTTCCTGACCACCGAGAACACTCACGTTAACTTTTATCGAGTGGAAAAAAAGTTAGCTTGTTTATATTATGCTAACATAGCTGTGTCGCTAGCGGTCACGTAGCACATCATTATATACCAGCTAGCCAAACTTCAGTAACCCTACAAACGTCACTGCTGTTTAGTTTTCTGTCTTCATTTATGCTGGAAGTGATAACAGAGCTGTACGTTTTAATTTGTTTCCAAAACCCCGCAGTCAGGACATGCTATATTGTATTTAGATAGAAGCTAGCGAGCTAACTCCCTGCTAACTTCTCACTCCGTTAAATGTCATAAATTCCGTTTTCATGGATGCCTGGATGTTAAACTCAATTGTTACACCTGGTAGAGCAGAACGCTGATCATTTTATTAAAGATGAAAGACTTTAGACAGTTTTTCAACTCTCAGTAATGCCACAGTGATCGTTTGATATATGGACCTGCAGCGGAGTTTAGACCCAGACACGGCTAGTGACGTCAGACTGAACGACCGGATAAAACAGAAAAACTCTCTTCACTGTGACGTGTCAATAAATGAGAACTTGTTATTAAATGTGTCTCATTTTCAGTAAACGAGACAATGACGTGAGTCAGTTTTTTATTGCTGCCGGTGAACGCAGCCATCGGTGCAGGATACCTGCCAGTGTCACGTTTAGCCATTAGCTCTCAGAGGTGCGAACAGCGCAGCATCATCTGCAAACATGACGACCGTCTGACAGGATGCAGAGCTGCAGCTTCCTTCTGCTTTCTGCATGCAGTGATTCACATTTTTACTTCTGCGATCATCACTTAGTTTTGGACCTTTGAGTCAAGTCCAATGATCCAGACCTGGATGACGGAGAACCTGCACAGACATTTCCCCTCCCAGATGTTTTTGCTTCATCCTCTGAAGGCGTAGTTTCAGACCAGTGACCTGATTTCTGCCTACTGTTCCTCCGTCGAGCATCCTGTGGCGTTCCCGTCGGTAAACCATTACTCTGTGCAGGTTATTTCCCCTCACGGCCTCCAAAGGGGCCCAGCCCACAGGCTGAACCTCGTCTGGCTCTTTGTTCTGAGTGAAGAGCTTTGGAGGGTCATCGATGATGGGACGATCCCCCTCTGAGCGCCGACTGTGAGAACATTTTAATGCGATGATCTTCAGTCACGTTCACATCTTTAAAAAGCTCGCCGTCGATCTGTCTGCCTGTTTGTAGCTGCTGATGATGGTGGTGATGGAACTAGCTCTCATCTTTACACGCTCTCGCTCTGAATACCTGATGTGAGAAATTTTTTTGGGGGGTACAATCTCCTGTCTGTGAGGGTCTCTGGTGTCTGCAGCGTGGGATTATGGGAGGACGATGGGCTGTCAATCATTTAGCGGGCGTAGGTGTGATTTCCCTCTCATGCTGCAGGTTGGTTTTGGATGGAATCTCATTACTGGCCGTGTTTCAGGGTGACTGACAGCAGAATAATGTTTGGGCCCCCAGAGGGCTGCGGCCGGCTAAATGTTAAATGTATGAATGCATGGGAGTCAATGGAGAGATGAAGTGTAGCTGAATATTTTATTCTTCCTGGGAAACAGTCACGGAGTGGAGAGTGTGACCCTGAACACACCATCTGCTGCTGTTTCACTGCCGAACACGCCGTTCACAGAAAGCGCAAATATGGCTGACTGGCAGAGTCACCTGGGGGGAGAGGGGGGGGCAGGTAAATAAACAAAGACTAATTAACCAGGATTTGTATAAAAGTGTCAGACACACAGCAGTCACCTGCATGTGTTAGCTGTGCTCATACACAGGTTGATGTTAATACGGAAATAATCGTTCAGTTACCAACAACTCCGATTAGTTCATTTGAAAACATGCATGTCTTCTTCAAAAACAACAGATTATGACAACGAAGTGTATTTAAAGATCCAAACGCTCTGAAAGACGAGACGGGACAGTGAGCAGAGCTGAGGGGTCGAACTTAAAAAGTTAGTAAACTCTGAAGATGGACTCCTTCAGGGCTTCTTAAAATGACTGTGAGCTGTTCCTGTGGGGTCTTTACCGTACAGCCTAAACCACCTTGAAGCTGCTGTTGTTGTGATTTGGTGCTGGATAAATACGTCTGTAACAGGAAGCGTGGCCCTTTCTCAATTCTCAAGTACGCGAGCACGGACTCGCGATTTGTACAATTGGAACGCCCGCGTACTTCATGATGTCACAGGTCTGGAGGTTTTACTGCCTTCTTAATTTAACTGTGAGTAATATGTTATGAAGCTTTAATCACAGCCGAACCGGTTTACTCAGGAACAAATAAAACACTGAAATAAACCAAAGATTAACATTTAGAAGTGATCTAAGTGACTTATATATCATGTTTAACCTCAGTAGTGAAATCTCTATTAATAAAAATAGTGTACATGAATATCTTAATAAAAACAAGCAGGTGAGATGTTAGAACGCTTTTATTTTTATTGGAGTGGACACTCAATACAATAGACAGCTGCTGGGGTTTGTTTAACCTGAGTAGCGAAAAGACCGCGGGGGGGTTGGAAACGATGTGCCGGGAGTCCTCTGTTCTCGCCGGCTCTAATAACCCTCGACCTCGCTGTCTGCTGTGGAGCCGGCGGGTCACAGACGTCTCCGAAAACGTCGGAGCGCGTTTGGAAATATGTGACATCTTGATAAACTGA